TCCTACTAACTTTTCCCTGAAGTCGATAGTTTTTGGCATTTAATATTTGAAAAAGGTGCAAAATACGTAATTTGAAGCCCGAAAAGCATAAAATAATTGTCAATCAGGCGTGCGCTTAATGTATATTCTGAGTGAGCGCAGTTTTGACTAATAAATAAAAAACAAAGGCTTACAACTCGGCTTACAGTAATAGAGCTTTGGAATTTTGTTATTGGATGTTTGAGCATATTTGTGAGCTTTGGCAATGATCAGATTTTCGCGTTTCAGTATTGATTTTCCAGGTCCAGTATGGCACATTCTGCACCACTTCAAATATTGAGTCGCTTATGTCTCTAAAACTGTCATATGGAGCCTTTAGACCCAAAACACTTACCAAAGTTTTACTAGAGCAAATAAAACCAATTTTGTGTACTGGCGTTTTTCAGTTGTCACTGTATTTGAAAGACGCGACGCAACCGTGGTGACCGAGACGAAATACAATAAATATAAATTAAAGAATACATGTGAAAGAACGGAGTTCACTAAATATTTTTTTCGCCATTTACATTCGTAATGGTAAGATGGGTCATTTCGCTTCCTAGCCTATTTCCGTTTTTCTGTCTGCGTGTCTGTCGATGTGTCGGTCTGTCTGTCTGTGGCGCTGCTAATTCTTGGCTGCTTTATAACTTGTGAAATACCTTCCAGATTAGGTTAGTATACCAAGGACGAAAAAGCTTTTTTGTTTCTGAAAGTTTATCCAGTGACAGCGAAACAAGGGGGAAAACATAAAAAAATATAAAAAGACTTTTTTGACGTTCCAGAAGCTCCTGATCATTTGCAGAAATTTTTTGTGGTTGTAAAAGGTAGGGACCGTATATGCTAATTTTTTGTGGTTCGTATACTTATAACCTCCTAATCCCGCAAATTCTACGCACCTATTGGACATATTTCACACATTACAAACCGATAAAGTAATGTTTTCTATGCGCGTCTCTGCTTGTGCTGCCCAGCGTATGCGGGAGGGCGGCGTTGCGAAATGGACGGTACTACCGGTAGGACAGGGAAATAATGTCTATGGACTAATTGTATTCGCCCGTTGGACTGACTTGATCCTTTTAATTTCCCTGTTGTACATGATCGTAACTAACTTTTTTCTCAGAGGTCCAACTTGACGCCATTTTTTTAAAAAATGGATGGAAAAACCGAATTAGACTACTTTTTCGAGCAGATACTTCCTGGACTAGTTAGGATATGCCTCGTCCAACTTTTTTGTTCATTCCTTTCCACCTCGAAAGTTATCTCCTGGGGCCACCTTAAAGTATTCTATAAGGATTCATTCGGAGAGTTGGATTTCATTGATGGACAAAACTTTCCGCCTGCAAAAAAATTAAGGAACTTACGGTATCCACCCCACGCATCATTTCGTTTTGACCCTCATAATCCTGGGAAATCTCTCGTCAGGAGATCGGCTGCTTAAATAGTTCCAGATGAGCGTCTTTTTCAAACGACATTCTGGAAAGGGTCGGAGATCCGCAGGGGCTATCCTTATCTCTACGCTCAATTTAATTCAGAAAAGTGCAGGTTCTTTTGAATAGTCCAATAATCCTCAAATTTGATGCCTCCAAAGTGCGTAAGAAGTAAAAAAGATTTATTGTCATGAGCGATTGATCCACTTAGGTTTTGGTTCCATAAAGTGATCAAAATATTTTGTATAGAAGGTTTCTCATTAGTTTACAGGGTGATTCAGAAAAACGTGGCAACATTTATAGGGAAAGTTCATAAAAATATGGGTCCTAAAATGCCCTACTATCTACTACAGAATGCTGAAATTGCAACTGGACCGCGTTATGCATGACCAAGCATCAAAAAGGCTTTTTTCAACCGAGAATGAAAAAACAATTGGTTAAAAATCAGTAGGATGATTGTATTAACTAATTTTTGTTGTGACAACTTAATGTATGTGATCATTTTTTCAGAAACTCTTTCACCTGAGACCTAACGAAATAGCATAGCGATTGATCAAGTAATGCTTTTAAAAACTGTGCTCATTTTTTCTTTCATTTAACGGCCACGGCACGTTAATGTTACTTAGTCATGTTATGTAAAATAGGAATAAATTACATAAAGATACTTGTTTATAATATAGCATCATATTAATTAACAAGTTAAAATACACTGATTTTTACACATTTCCAAAGACAAAAAAATAATAGTCTGAATGTCAAATTTGGTACCTGTAAGCTCATTTATATTCTCATTTAAAAATTAAATGAAACAAAAAATGGCCTCGCATTTTAGAAAAGAACTTAGAACCTGATGTTTTTGTATTTCAATGGCTTGTCTGATCAGCCTGGCATGGCAATGCAATTTCCATAACGGTACCACCCGTGCGCCAATGACCGCGAACTTATGGGAAACCACAGCCTCCGGCAGGGGTATTACGAATCTTCAAAGTTACATTATATAGGTTTTTGGTCATATTATGCAGGTTTTTCTACAAGATGTCAACTTAGCACTAGCTGTTGCTTCAGCTATCAAGGTTTGGCGCTGATGTGAAGTATCATCTGCTTCAGAGATTGCATTATTGGAGGTCCAAACTGTAAGAGGTAGTGCATAGGTGCTAATAATCTGGATTGATGACTAATCCATTAGTTTTTTGTCTCAAATACACTTACTTGAGATGTATGCAAATCTAATAATTAGTTGCGCATCGGCTTTTTTTATTCAACCTGGAAAATACATATGAAGATTCAAAAAAGAGAGCGATAACAAAAGAAAATTCCTGGTTGGTGAAGTATATTAAAGCTAATAGGTGATAAAATATGGTACATACAATAATATTCCATTTGGAGCTTTTGAATAACAATAATAATAATAATAATAATAATAATGATAATAATAATAATAATAATAATAATAATAATAATAATAATAATAATAATAATAATAATAATAATTTGTTGGTACTATTACACAAAAATGTGCTTGCACAGGTCAGTGAGAGTAAAACATAAAATAGTAAGTAAAAACAACTAACAGTACGTAAAATAAGACAAACATAGGAAACAAAGTGACAATAAAAGGTAAAAGGCTTCATAAAATGTACGTTAAAATTTAGATGAACAATAAATAGAGATAGGTTAAAAAATTATAAAATAATAATAATAATTTGTTCATGTTTATACACAAAAGTTCACGTCTGGAGATGTGGCAAACTTCCATCCTATGGCCTACCAGAAAAGATTTGCAGTTGAGTGGCTGACCTTATCTCTGGTCGCAAGATATCCGTCGTAATTCACGGGTTCTCCTCTTGCTCCCACAAGGTCAACGCGGGTGTTCCCCAGGGATGGGTCTTTGCTCCGACACCGTTTCTCTTGCATATCAACAACTTCCTATCCTGCACAATCAACTCAATCCACAGCTTCGCTGATGATAGCACTCTACATGCAGGAATTCAGAGTGCTAGTGACCACATCCTCTCTGACAAGAGTCCTGGAAGGCTATTACTGCTTGGGGACGCAACAATCTTTACAGTTCAATGCTTCCAAAACACTGTACTGTACTTTGACGAACAAAAAGCGTCCTAGCGCTCATCCGTTTTCAATGGATGGCCGAGTTCTGTCAAAGAGCCTTTCACTTCGGCTGGTCGGAGTCCAGTTAACCGAAGACCGGATCTGGCACAAACACATCTCGTCAATAGCTGCAGCTGCTGGGAAAAAGCTAGGCTATTTATTTAGGGCTAAGAAATACTTTTCTCCGCATGACCTTCTCACTGTATACAAGGCCCAGATAAGGCCTAGCCTCGAGTATTGCTCACACGTTTGGGGTTCCTGCCGCCGCGACTACATTATCCATGCTCGTTGCTATCGAGAGAAGGACGGTCCGACTGGTCGATAACTCTTCTCTAACAGTTAGTCTCGGAACTCTTTCGCACCGGCGGGCCGTCGGCGATCTAGCTCTTTTCTACCACTACACCAACGGGCTTTGCTCCTCGGAGCTCTCTTCCATGATGCCGCCGCGCAATATGCCTGCCAGACAGACCCGCCTAACTTTGGCGTCCTATCCTAACCGTGTCGAGCTTCGTGCATCCAGAACTAGACGATACGACCGCTCATTTGTCCCGGGAGTGTCAGACTGTGGAACAATCTACAAGAGGAAGCTTTTCCCAGTTCTACTAACATTAGGTTGTTCAAAAATCGTATTAACAAAATTTATTTGGGATCATCATAGCAGCCGCGGTGTTCCGGCATTTAGGCTTCTGCGCTTCGATATAAAAAAAATGTAATACGAAAATAAAACACACACAAAAAATCCAAACGAAAACAAACACTAAGTAATAAAACAAATATGTAGTCAACAATTATGGAACGAAGTCGCTAAAATAATTATTTAAAAACTCATCTATGCTTTAAAAGGCTTTCGTCACCAAATATATTTTCACAGTTGCTTTAAAAATGGTTGGGTTGAGTGTTTGACAAAACCTGGGCAGCGCGTTAAAGAATTCTACGCCAAAATAATTACTTCCGTATCTAGTTTTTGATAGCCTTGAGTATTCTGGTATTAATTCATTGTTGAACCTTGTATTATATTTGTGAATAAGGCGGCATTTCTTATTTTGAGGTTCGAGTTACGCCCCTAACAGCCACTTTAAGAAACCAAGAATAGTTTCCAGCAATTTATATTTTGTTGTTAAATATTTTAACAGATAGCTCTAAGCTTAGTGATTGCCGAGATACAATCGACGTCCTTTATCACTGGTCCACCCGGTATAAGCCGGAAGATTATCATAACTTCAATACCAGTCACACGTGCGGCATATACGATATCAATATCTGACGCGCTCGAGTACCTCTATGTAACTATTTTTTTACATTTTTGTGAACCACTAATAGAATATACATCATATATTCTTTTTTTCTTTCTGCGATCTAATCTTCAAAGCCCAATAGGTTCCTTCGACACTCGACTAATCCTCCATTTAGACTATTGGGCTTCTCTACTGTAAGCTAGGCTTATTTGAACCTGACAACACCCTATAAACATGTAATCATCCACTCACAGACTGTGTCAATCTGCCGTGTCTAAAAGTCAGTTTTGATTGTGGAAACTAGTGCAAATTTACAGTTCATCCAATTTCATCGCATTTTGTGAATATGCGTATAGAGTAAATCATCAGTGGTAAAATCCTAGTTAAATAATGCCACGTACCACCGATTCAAGAAGTAAAATGAACGATAAAACATTGGCAGCTAGTGGAAATACCAACAACTCTCAACAGACGCCTCAGAAAGGGCAAAAGACTAATCAGGCTCCATCTCAAACAAGTAAGCTAAAATAATATATAAAATTACGGATGCGTGTTTTATCGAATTTTTATTTCTCAGAGTAAGATTAGACAAAATATTGAATCATACTTTGTGGTGTATGAAAAAGGGGATGAGGTACGGATGGCAACGACATTCGTTGATTCTGATTTTTCAATAAAGCGGTCAGAGTTTTGAGCTTCATACCAGATATCATTTTAAATGCAAAACGTAAAAACATTCTTATGGATCTAATATATTTTTGATGTATACACAAAAATTAAATAAAGCATCAAACTCCACAGCTCCACATAACCTCAAACGCTCTGGAGACGAAGCGCCGCGACTCAAGGGGAAGGGAATTCCAGAATAAAAAGACGTATGGAGATGCTTATATGAAAGCATAATTACGTATATATATTTTCTTTCATAAAATCTACTGTGCAGTTAAACATTGAAACCTCGCATATTAATCTCAAGTGCACGCTTTCTACGGCAATGCTACTCACAGAACTAAAAGTTTGGCTCCATAAGTAGGCTTTTAGATGCTTTGTGGTGGCATTTTTCACTCAAAATAATACCATTTATCAGGTAAAGGAAATACTGCTAATTTCTAGATCATCCGCACTTCTATCGTTTCTTAAGTAGGTTTCAACAATTTTTTGAATATTTCTCTTAGTAAAAAAGCTTCGATAAACCTCAGGTCGATCCAAGCGTTTTTCAGAAGATTCTGCTCTGCATCGGTATTACTTTATTATAGTCTCAAGTTCATGCCTTGCTTTTATTTATATCAAAATCCCGTAGATCTACCCCCTCTACAAAAAGATAAGTAAACCAGACTCGCACACAAATCTGTTTCGAGACATGCATGATTCCACTAGAGGCTTCGTTTCTATTTAGAATGGATGCAACTACTATAGGTTCAATAGATTATACAGATCTCGATGCTTTCGACTTTTAAAATTACGAATATTCATTTATGTAATTAATGACTACTTTCCATTCTATAATCTTTACCTCCATGCTAATGGCGACGAAGTATAGTAATTGCGAAAATTCTTGAAAATGAGATACTACGTTTTTTGGATTTTGCGTGACATATGCTTCGCAAAAAATGATGTTTAACTTAATCCTTTACCGGTCGGATTTTGATAAAATTTTTACACAATGTTACTATTATGCGAAAGGCGAAAAATTTTTGTAGTTTTTAAATTAATCAATTGGTGGTGGAGCTAGGAGCAAAGAACGGAAAAAATAAAGTTTAATCAAACCCTGTTTTCGACATTTCAGAAGCTCATATTCATTTTCAGAAAAATTTTAGGAGTGGTTGAAAATATAGGGTTAAGAATTGTAGGGGGTAGAGGGTTGTAAATGTTGAATTTTGGTATCAGTGAAAGACGTACTATTATTAACGCGCTTCCGATCTCGGTGATATTATGCACGAATCAGACAAATGAACATCCTGGCAAATTCCAGTTACACCAACTGGATCCTATATTCACGGCTCCACGTATCGAATCTCGCTCCCCGTTCCTCGTGGTGACACACCAATAAATTGACTGGCCTTGGCGGCAAAAGTGCAGGCAGTTCACAGGTATATTTTATCACGGGTTGGTTGAAATTCTAGGAGTAGCGGCATTAGAGATGTTTGACACATTACTTTTGCTTTTTTGTAACAAGTTTTGCAGTCTGTTGAATATACCTTTTGTCAAGTAACTCGACTGTATATCTGACATACCTACAATCATTAAATCAATTCCTTATGAACCACAGTTCATATGGTGTTAGGTCTACAAATAAACTGAACACAATATAATTGTGTGGTAGATACAAAATCAATTTGCTTGGTTGTGCGCAAGTAGGTGAGAAATCGGAAGATCGCCACCTAATTTTCATCCCCATCTCATACAATAAAGATGACAAGGTGACCGTTACGTCCTCGGGATCATAATTGCTCGACCTTCTGCGGTCTGTAGAGATGTCGCACCGACCACTATTATGGTGAGGCTCATGTCCTTGCTCTTGATATCACGAAAGTGCTCGATCAGCTGTGGCATGCTGCCTTTCTAAGCAAATTTCCATCCTATGGCCTCCCAGAGAAACTTTGCAGATGGGTGGCTCAATTTTCCTCTGGCCGCAACATATTCGAAAAACGCGGGTGTTCACCAGGGATCGGTCTTAACGCCGACATTGTTCATCTTACATATCAACGACTTACATATAGGAATTCAGAGTGACAAGCCAATCTCTGCCGGTGAGCTGGAGAAAAGAAGACTAGCAGAGACTTCCTCTCTGATGAGAGACCTGGAGGGTATTACTGCTCTGGGACGTAACAAACTTGCACAGTTTGATGATTACGAAACACAGTATTGTACCTTGACAAACAAGAAGCGCCCTAGCGCTCATCCGGTTTTGATGAGTGGCAGAGTTCTACCAAAGAGCCGTTATTTCGGCTGACCGGAGTCCAGATCACAGAGGACTTGATCTGGCACGATCACATCTCGTCAATAGCGGCAGCTACTGCGAAAAATCTAGGCTAGGACTAAGAATGACCTCCTCACTCTGTACAAAGACCAGACCGTCGGCAATCTAGCTCTCTTCCGCTGCTACGCCAATGGGCTCTGCTCCTAAGTCCTCTCGTCTATGATGTCGCAGCGTGATGTGCCTTCCACACTTACCAGCCTCCCATCCTAATCGTATCGAACTTCGTACATCCAAAACTTTTGTGGAACAATCTACAGGATGAGGCTTTTCCTAGTTCTACTAACATCAGGCAGTTCAAGAATCAGATTAACAAAGTTTGAATACTAAATATTCACTGAGCAAGTCAGCCATGTAACCATGACCAAACGCAGACCGCGGCTTTGTGCTCATTAGCCAATGTTTTGAGTTCTTCAAACGACCCTACCTACTTGTTCGTCTGTCTCCAAGACTAGACTTCAGACCTATAACACACTAATGAGTACCTGCGGTAATAGTTACAGAGACGGACAGCATACATACCAATTTCAGTCAACCTACTTGATGCAATTTTTTTGTTAGGTCAGTATAGCTGTCCTACGTCGTGTCAATGCCCCATACACGGAAAGAATTTGGAGAAGAAGAAGGAGAAAACAAAAACTGGAAAAGGTTCAGGTAGCAGAAAGAGATCAAGGTCAAAGTGCAAACATAGTGGAAGAGCTTATAACAGTAGTAAGAAATCAAGATCAAGGTCCAAACATGGTAGAAGAGCAGGAAAGAGGAAAGCAAGAACAGGTAAATTCTAGAAAATTTGTGAACATTTGCAGAAATCATGAGGATACAATTCAAATTGCGCTTTGAAGCAAGCGAATACTATTTCCTAAGAACTTTGCTAACACCAGCTTCTGAACCAAGCAACTAAAACCGCTTTTACATATTGAGATTTGAATATCTCGATGGCCCGAAGCAATAATAATAATAATAATAATAATAACAATAATAATATATAATAATAATAGGCCTTTATTGCCCAACAGTTTATCGCCAATAACAGAGCAATTTATAAAAATAAAAGTTAGCTTAGAGGTATTAAGTAAATATACATATATATACACATAAAACGTGTCTTAGTCCTTATCTCATTATAATTGCAACCAAAAATGTCACAGTCGTTAGCAATTTTATTGGCATTGTTACTCATCATATTAACTGGTGCTTTTGATAATAAGTTATTCTGTGCTCTTTGACATAAAAAAGGAAAACTAGCTCGTGAAGCTAACCGCGGCACCAGAAATTGCAACTGCGAGAGAATTTGGGGACAGTCTACTTGACCATGCAACAATTTATATAAAATCAATACAGAAAATTGATTCCGTCGCTGCTCTAAAGATTGAAACTCAAAGTTTTGCAAAAGGTCTTTGTGATCGGAACCTCTTGCAGGGTATACTCCATCAGTTTTGAAACTGAGAAACTTCAAACATTTTTTCCGAATTTTATCAACAGCATCAACATATTGTTTATAAATAGGGCTCCATATAAGAGATCCATATTCAAGTTTTGACCTTATCAGGCTGAAAAATAAAGATTTCAATGTAAAGATATTGTCGAAGTTCCTACAGTGTCTGATTATGAAGCCATACGTTTTCGATACACTAGAAATTATTTGGTTTATATGATAATTAAAGGTGAGTTCCTAGTCAAAGTAGACACCTAAATTTCTCACCGTTTCACAACGCTCCAAGACAGAATCCTCCATTGTGTAGTTATAAAATATAGGATTAGTCTGTCTAGAAAAAGTGAGTGCTTTACATTTAGAAATATTTAGAAAAAGGTTGTTATTTTCACACCATCTCAGTACAATGTTGATTTGTTCTTGCAACACAACACAATCCTCTGTCAAGGAAATAGTAGAGAAAAACTTTAAATCGTCAACAAACATTAACTTCAGACAGTTCACAAAGAGACACATAAATCATTAACAAAAAGAATAGCAATATAGTTGTCAGGAATATTCAAAACTACACTCTACCGATTTATATTCACGTTTGAGATATATATATATATATATATATATATATATGTATTTTTTTAGATAAGACTCCTCAAGCTACTAAATCAATGATAGTCCTCAATATACTACAATTAATCGAAGACTCACAGGCTCGATCGAAAAGGAAAACATCTGGTAAACATTCATCCGGGAGAAGAGGAAGGTCGCATAGCCGTTTATCGAAGAACAGAACGAAATCTGGTTTACCTGGTCTTACAAAATCAGGGATTGGATCGAAGAGGAAAAAATCTGAGAAACGTTCATCCAGGATGAGGGGAAGTTCCCTTAGCGGTTCATCAAAGAAGAGAAGCAAATGTGCAAAAAGCTCTTCTAGAAGACGAAAAGGTGATTTACTAATAAAATCAGGGATTGGATCGAAAAGGAAAAAATTGAGATACATTCATCCAGGATAAGGGGAAAATCACATAGCAGTTCATCAAAGAGAATTAAAAGCGGACAAAGTTCTTCTAAAAAGCGGAGAGTTGATTCATTTGGTCTTCCTACAATATCTGATTATGATGCTAAATCACTTCATTGCCATAACAAACCTAAGCATCTTTTAGTTTCGAAAGTCATGCAAAAATTGGGTAGGGTAATTGGACAGACGATCATTTATGGATAGGCTGTAACGAAATCATATAGCTTAGGAGCCAAGCTCAAGGCAGTATTTGTTGCCAAAAATACGTTAATGGAATGCATACTTCTTGTTAGAATTGTCTACAAAACTTTAAAAGCATAAACTGGCGTACATTCTTTTCTTTAGAAAGGATTTGCAAGCAATGTATGTAACGTATGGATTCAACAAAGTATCTCGAAAAATACGTTTCCTACAGAAAAATACTGTAGAACAAGGTTGTACAGTTTGAAAAGGGTCATCCAATGGTGACCTTAAACGTAACCTTGACTATGACCTACAAGGTTATTTGAAGGTCAATACGGTTTCTTAAATGGAAGCCCCTATTTCCGACACCGGAAGTGCAAAGAGGAAAACTTAGGTTCAGGTGTTTTTGTCTATGATCTTCACGGGTACTTGAGGTTGTGCCAAAAGTATGGACTGGGCATATCTCACTCAATTCTTCCCTTAAATAAACATGTAGCAGAGCAAAGTTGTAATATTTATAAAGGGTCAACGAATTATAACCTTGATTATGACCCTTTGAAGGTCTAATGAGCTTTTACTCGGAAAATGTGAAAAACAGAAGACTCCATCGTTAAAATGTCATATTTAGGCTGTGGGATTCCAAAAATGCAGCATGGAATTTGTCGAACATAATGACCTTTGGCTATATGAATGGTAACTAGATATAGTAAAGTGGAATCGCACAGCAACCCCCTGTTACGTAACTCACTGCACTAAACAGTGGATCAAGTTCGTTAACATTCAAGGCCACGGCTCACTCTGTAATTAAAAATCAGCGCAAACTTTTAGTAAATCCAAGATTACACCCTAACATAACCTGAATAAAAATTTTTTTTTAGTGCACCTCAAAAGGAATCCGTGAACCAAGTCAAAAAGCCTAGGTGCTTCCTTTTAAACTAATACACTTCTGTGTTTCTTTCCTTTTCTCCTTTTTCTCTCTTTCCCTTTCACTTTGTCCGTGTCATTGTCTGGTTTCTGGGCAACCAAGACTGACAGATGTGACTAACGTCCATTAGACAGTGAGTAATGGATAAGGTCCTACGGGCCGCCCAGACAACCAAGTAACGAATATATAACTAAGTTATTGTCCAAAATTTAACTATATGTATTGGAAATCTTAACCCCGTAAATTCGTCATGTTCGAGGCATCGGACCAGCTCATTGTAGCAGTATTTTTGGCGGACAACATTTTTTTAGAATTTCTTGACATAGTAACTTATAAATGAAGTACATATTTACTACTTGGAAATAAGTTATAAGTTCGACGGGTATCGGAATTTCCTAAACGAAAAGGCATCAGTTAAAAAAAAATAGTTAAAAAGTTAGTCGGATTCAACAAAAGGAGCTGTATGCAAAGCTTCAAGCATATATTAATCATAAAGTTAAATGAGTCGTGTTCTGTGGATAGTTCGAATTCGTTGATAACCTCAAGCGGGTGTAGAAAATGTCTTAGTTTGATTATTTTCGTTCATCCAAGTAATCGTATAAATGTGCAGTTTCGTCGTCTTTAGTAACCATTAGTCAAGTGCAGATTATGGGACGACATATGGAATCAATCAAGTATTTTTAAATATTTGCTATGACGATACTCGTATAACTGGTGGCATCTGTTGATGAAGAAGCGTCCATTGCAGTAGTAGAATAAGAATCTATATAACCTTTAAGTTTTACAGAACTCATTATGTTGCAGGTACAAGCTATTCCTCTACGAGGAAACGAAAAAGTGGGTATGGTAGCAAAGGCGAAAGACACTAGAGGAGCGTAAAAAGTCGTCTGAAGGAAGTATTTGTTGAAAAACTGTGTATGAATACAATTTTGTTGTGTATTTTTCTCTGATGGTCGTGATGCGATGTTTATTAAAAGTCTTATCCACTATGGCACCAATTTATACCTTTTTACTTTACTAAGAAGATAATATGAGTACATTTTATTCTAAGAATGGTATATGGCAAAACCCTTCGCAGTTCGCAGTTAAAACAAAGTTTCCAATTCAAATTCAAATTCAAGAACCAATATAACTTACAAATTAAAAAAAACAACCTTGAGTACAGTACAATTTAAATTAAAAAAAAGCTTCAAGAATACGAGCTTGTATACTCTTGCTACCCTGAATAACCAAGATTGCAACAGAAATCTGAGGAAAGATACTAGCATCAGATCTAGAACCAGCAAGTAACGGTATATGAATTGTGAAAATTCTGTATACTTTCGTAAAGGGTAAATGTCTGAATCTTGTTGTCACAAATCCTAAATTAGCTGGTTTGTAGTATGCTGTGAAAACCTTTTTCATTTTCCAAGTAACTAGTGGAAACTAATAAGTGAAAGTGCATCTACGCCAAGTATTGACAACGGGATTATCCCACCATTTGGAATCGCTGAAGAACTTTTTTCTTTACCAACCCAAGAAGTCGCTCTCATTGACCGCAATATCCTACTGAAATGTAGCATTTCTCTCCTTACGTGCAATGAGAAAAAACCGCTTAAGTAAATAATACAAATTAAAACCATAACATCAACATCACTCAAATAAGGAAGCACAAAGTGCCAATTATTACCAGAATCGACCATTGCGAGCGTTCCACAAACCATATGAATGAACAGTCCAGAAGAATATTGTATAATTTTCATTCAGTGTGACAACATGATTTAAAAAGTCGTAGTCTCTTTATTGTTGCAGATTTGGACAAATAGCAAATGAAAAATCACAACATTACCATGGATTGAACATGCTCGTATAAAATTCATTTAAGGAAAAAATGGAGTTCACTTGCTTTTGTTACTCAAATCATGTTGATGTGTGCTTGCCCAGTAGATCTCAGCTGGTAATCCAAAATGCTTAGTTAGTATCGAAGGAAAAAAATATTTTTCAATATCGATCCGAAATTAAAAAACGCAAGAAATACGCACACGATAAATATATACGGCAACCACCAAACAAATAAGCAGCTACGTGAAGCTTAATCAAAACAAGAGCCTAACGTTATAACAGCACACCGTTTAATTTAAATCCTAAATATTTTGATTTTTTTGTGATCTTTGATGAAAACACCATAGCCTGAAATACTCTAAAAGTAAAGATCCTTAAAAAATGTTAATATAATAACAACTTTGCAGACTTGATAATAATTAATTAATATGTGCACTGAAAATAATATATTCCCGTTTTTTTAGCAAAAGTTATTCCAGTTCCAAATACAGAACAATCCGATCGTCCATCATATTTCAGGCTAATTTATATCATTCTAATTCTGGTCAAAATTTTTGAACTGATGAAAAACCACATTAGTGAATACTTAGAGCCAATGATTTATTATCAAATACTCAGTTTGGATATCTTTCAGGTACTTAAAAAATGGTAATTCATTTTATTATTTTATTAACCATAGATCGTGTTTTTTTAACGACGGTCTAGAGCAGGAAATGCATAGATTGGCATGTCTCTATGACCTGACTAAAGCCATTGACTATGTTCAGCATTCAATTTGGTTAAAAAAGATGTTTTAATATAGCTTTAGTCAGGATAATAGCTTGTCGTTAGAAGTTATCAAAGAAGGGGTACCACAAGGAGCAGCCTTAGTGCCTAATCTCTTTTTAATATATATACCAACGACTTACCAAACTGCGTTGACAATGAGTGCATACTTTGTGCGGATGACACCACAATGATCTCTTCCAACAACTTCCAACAGTTGACAATAGATTCATAGCAACATTTCACAGCAGCAATGGTTCATGGCTAACAGGCTATAATTGTAAACGCCTTGATGGCTTCCTTGACTTTTATACCATTTTCTCTCCTTCAGAAAGGCTCGGATATTTCTAGATTTCTACTGTTCCGTGTCAGCGTCAGCGCTCTCCTATTGTGAGGCTATGTTTTCTTCTTGAATTATAATAAGTTTTAGGCTATATTACAGATGATATAAATCAAACCTCAAAATTGAGCGCTGACACGAAAGAGTAAAAAACTATGAAAATCAAAGAGGTCATAAAGGCGTCCTACAATTGGGTCTGTTGCACAGTAGTTGAATTTTTAAGTAAGCGCCAAGTGTGATATTTGTTGTTATTTAATTTGCAACACATGACCAAACGACCCGATTTGTTTAGAGTATTTGCACTACCAAAGTTTTGCATAAAGTGACCAACCGCCGTATAATCGGCGAACGCGCTTTGAAGTTACAACAGCGTATGTACTCCCTGGATGATTATAATATATAATATAAACGTGACGGGATCTTGTCGCCGAAAAAATCCTCGTTGTTCATATGATGAAGAGTGAAAACTTTTTCAGCACAGCGCAATGTAAATAGAAAGGTTGATATACAGAAGGCAATAAGGTGAATTGAAAGGCCTTTCAGTATTTTTGGTAAAACTGATTTTGAAGCTCCCTCTAAAGAGATTGATTTTGAGAAAAGAGGTGGCAGACCATCGAATGCTTTGATTCAAGTATTGCCTAGTAAACCCCCCGAGAAACTGTAGCCAAATGGGAAACCTATCGCAGAAAAGAAGCTAGATGATTTAAGATCATTACTAAGTCTTATACCTAAGGATTCCAAAAAGTTCTATATGAATTTAGTTGGCGACTTAAGTATTGAGTAGGATATAGATGGGTTCAATGGTCAACCAGATTTCGATTTTATAGGGAGAATAATACAAAACTTCCGATTCAGGTTCTTGATTCATTTCGAAAATGTGTGGTTACTTCTTGCTTCATTTTATTTTTGAATCAGTATATAATTGAGTTTAGTACATAATTGTCATTCAAGCAATTTCTTATTTGGTTCCGAGAATGTTTTGATTTGTGTAGTTTTAATTTATCAATGAATTTGATACAAATTACTACAAAAATAAGGAATCTTATTTTGCATACCTTGACCAAGTAACATTTTTGTGTTGAGGTCATTAAGTCAAAGGAAAAATGAGCATTCTTTTTGAAAGCAATACTTGACCAAGCGCCACTTCATTTCATTAAGTTTCAGGTAATGATTGCATAGATGATTTTGTAATATCATGTTTTATTCACAGAACAAAAATCATTCAACACAATCCTAGCATTGATTTTAAATGAAATGTTATAGTTTATTCATCCTGCATAAACGCGGTCCAGTTGTAGGAGTGACTAACGGTACGGCCCTTAATAACAGACGTTTGTGATGAGCACCCTACCACACAATAGCCATTGGACACAACCAATTAAATTCCTTTGTATTCACTTACCAGGAGACCTCACACCCTTCGGGTCACCGATTTGATCGCAGGTCTATGTATTAAAAGAATCTTACTACTGTCTTCCAAAAGTTCTAAGCTGCACAATTTGAAAGGGACGGCGAAATTCTTGCTGAAGCATTTCCAAAATCATAACTTTGTTACCTCAAAACAGGCAGCTTGTAAAGTTTTTTGATCGCTGATTTTGCAAAACTATTCATTTGTCAACATAATTTAATTGTATCAAAATTATAGAATTGCTGTTGTTTTTCAAATATAAAACGCAGTGGACGTTGAGGAATAAATCAATTGTCATTTGTAATAATTACGTCGTTTAAAAGTGCATGAAAATTTTCATAAAAAACAGAGCATACATTTAACTGACATCGACTAAAAGTTTCGATGCAAACCATGCATATTCAATCTTGTTCTGGAAAATTGGTGCTGATAGCTGACGAGGGATTTATTAAATAAAGTCGTATGGAATCTACTCGAGACGAGATTTCGCGTTCTTGTGCAACTAAATATGAACAGTTCTAAATTTTTTTAATATAATTTTTTATTTGCCGGTGTACACACACTATTCGTCATTGTCTGTCAGAGCGGTCCGTAGAACCTTTGCTCTTGGTTGAAGTCTTGTAAGTCAGTAGGTCTGTCAGGTCTGGTTGCCCAGATACCAAACAGAGTCAGGAAGAAAGAAGGGAAGGAGCGAGAGCAAATAAAAAAGAAGTGCATCAATTTGAGGGGTGCCTTGGCTTTGCTAGTTAGTATTCGGCAATTTTAAATTGATCCTAAAATGAATTTTGGGATTGGTTGTTGAATAAAAATTATCATTTTGTTTGGACCTAAAGTCGCACGATTTAATTTTGTTCACAGTGCGAGTCGCGGCCTTGTGTGCTTGCGAACTTGCTCGACTGTGTAGTCTACTGACTCGCGCAACAAAGGGTTGTTATGCGATTCTGCTTGACTGTAACGTAGCTGCGCTTGTTGTTTGATGTAGTCCCTTAGGTAAGGGATGTCAAGGTCTCTGTGAAGGGTCTCGTTGGAAACATACCATGGGGCGTTAGTGATTGTTCGCAAGATTCTGTTCTGCAAAACCTGAAGGCTACGCAAATGCGTTTTGGCGAGAAAACACCAAGCCGCAGTTGCGTAAGTGATCGCTGGTCTAATAACCATCTTGTATAGCCAAACTTTGTTGATCAAACTTAATTTTGATGTTCTACATAGCATAGGGTAGAGTTGCCGAAATGAGATTTGGAATTTAGATTTTAACGCTTCAGTGTACTTCTTCCAGGTTATCCCCTTATCAAGAGTGACACCAAGATACTTAGCAGAGCTTTCCCATGGTACCCGAGCTCCATTACTGAAACCTCAGACGGGGCGCCGCTACGTTTTTTAGTACAATAGATTGCCTGCGTTTTCGAATGATTAATTTTGATCAGCGACCGATTCGCCCATTCCAATACCTCGTCCACTGCACTTTGCAGCCTGTCGTGAACTAGATCCCCAGAGCACGACTGGGCCACCAGGGCAGTGTCATCAGCATAGAGATACGTTTCACAGCTGCTGGGGCAAGGGACGTCATGAATAAAAAGTGAATAAAGGATTGGTCCAAGAACTGAACACTGAGAGACACCGGCTTTGATGGCCCATGTTGTCGACAGAACGTTATTAATTTTGATCCGAAATTTCCTAACCTCGAGAAAGGATTTCAAAAGTTTTAGGAGCCAGAAGAGGAAGCCCTTATGGATCAATTTGTAGAGAAGGCCCTTGTGCCACACCTTGTCAAATGCCTT